TGTGTGTGTGTGTGTGTGTGTGTGTGCGTGTGTGTGTGTAAACATCACTGAGGAGAGTATGTAGAATCTTCAGGCCTGAGAACTTCTAGTCTGTCAAGTTACTGAGAGCATGTTTAAGAGCCGATCGAGTCGATGAGAACCGGATCCCAGTCGTTCTGAACGCATGAGCTTCCTCAGACCAGTGTTTGTGTGTCTGTCAGTGTTTGTGAGCACCAGATAGAGTCCTCCACACACCCTCAAACCTTCCGGAAGACCTCGAAGAGCGACGCCACCGAGTGCATGCGGTAGAAGAGGTTCATGGGAATGGCCAGGTTCAGCACCGTGGTCCAGACGCTGTATCCGAAGGTCTCCTGCTCCAGACCGCTGTCATACTGCGGACGGCAGCCGAAGGCAGGGAGAATCCACAGCTGGACGCAGAGAGAAGAACAAAACATTGTTTATTTGGAGCCTGACAGTCATGCTCACTATCAACTGATGTTTGATGGACCAGAGAGTCGTTTTCTTCCAAAAATGAGCCTTTGGGAAAAACAATCAGCTTTCAGCTTTAAGCGTCTGAGTAAATGTCTGGGTGTAATGGTACACAGAAATTATGCTCCAGGATGTCTTGGTTTGGTATGTTTTTGGTACACCAGCAGGAAAAACAAAAACAAAATTTTATTTATTAAAATTTATTACATCTAAACTGCTCAACAAAGTGTAGCTTTGTCTTTAAATAAAAAAAATTGCCAACACTGCTGCAATCCACCGCAACACACTCTTTATACTTCAGTTTATGGCACTGACATGTGAAGTGCTTCCACTTTTAGATGAAAAATACTGTTTCTGAGCAGAAATGTTTCTTCTCACCGAGATGTTGCACATGAAGAGGAAGATGGTGATGTTCTTCAGGATCTGCCTCTTCCTCCCGGGCGTCACGTTGAGCTGGTTTCCCACAGGAAGTGTGACGTCAGTCTGCTTCCTGCTGAAGGTCGCTCTGTTCTCAGGCGTCTCTCCCTCCAAGGTCACGCAGCGCTTCTCCTGCGTCTCGTAGCCGCGGTTCATGATGCCGTCGTACGTCGGCGTGACGCAGAACACCTCGGTTGCGAGCACGTCGTCCGGATCCCTGCGGCGGCGGTACAGCGACTCCACGATGAACAGGTTCTGCACACACTTCTCCAGCACCAGCAGCAGCGAGTACGCCAGGCAGGTCCAGCGGAAGCTCGGAGAGCTGCGTCCTGCCGCCGCCACTGCCACCACGCTGCACCACGACATCAGCCAGGAGCCCAGCGACGAGCCCAGCAGCAGCTCCGCGTCCAGCGCACGCGCCGGGTTCGAACCCGTGTCCATGGGCCAGGCCTCCAGACGGTACACCAGCAGCCCGGCTCCGCTCGCGACGCACATGCAGCTCAGCATCACCACGCCATAGCAGTAGAACATGGAGACGGCGGCCTGCGGAGATTTCTCCACCTGCATCGGGCACACCACCACATTTTTTTAATGAAAACAGACTATTAATGATTACTACTAGTGATTTTCAAGTTGATATTGCGTATAATGCATAATGGTGCATTATTGGCTATAAGAGTGTTATAAGAAAAGCTCTAAGATATGTTGAACCACAGGGACTATTAGAGTCTCCATTAAACCAATACAACTGCCTTTATAACCATTAAACCCGTTTTACAAATCAGGTCGTCCCCAAAGGGAAGTTTTTGGAGATATTGTCAGGTTAAGGTCACTATTGGGTTCAAATTTGTCCCTAAAATATGGCTGGTTTGGTACACACCCATACACGCACACTCACACACACACACACACACACACACACACTCTCTCTCTCACACATGCACACACTGCGAGTTCTCCACCTGGATCAGGTACACCACCAGCATGGTGACGGAGCTGGCCAGCGCCAGCAGACCCAGCATGGGGCCAAGCAGCAGACCCGGGCTCCTCGTGCTGGGACGCTTGCGGTTGCTGTGGAGGTTCAGCGTGCGGCCGATGTTCTTCCACATCACCAACAGCATGGCCGAGACGAAGATATGGTACTCGATGTTGAAGGGGTACAGGTAGTAGAGGCTGGTGGAGAACATGGAGCAGACGCTGGTGGTGCAGTTACAGTGCGGCTCCGCTTCCACTGCACACACACACACACACACACACACAGAGAAAGAGACAATCAGCTGACATACGCTCCGATTCACGCAATGGGATTCAGTGAAAACAACAGGAACACATATGTGACCCTGGAGCACAAAACCAGTCATAAAAATTTATGAAAATGAAATTTAGATTTATACATCATCTGAAAGCTGAATAAATAATCTTTCAGAAAACTCAGTAACACTCTACAATAAGACTCCACTGGTAAACAGCAGTTAACATAACCCATGGTTATTATAGTTAATAAAAACCATAGTAAAAATTTGTGATCTTGAAATAAAAGTTAATTGAAATAAAATAGAATTTGTATTTTAAAAAAAGAAGCATAAACTTACCTTATTTCAGCTACTTGACAAAAAAACACTGCACATTTTCATTTAAGATGGGTAACACTTCAGTATATGGACCAATTCACTCTACTAACTAGTTGTTTAGGGTTAGCATGCCAATTAATAACCCATTGGCTGTTTATTAGTACTTATAAAGCACATATTCTCAAACAGTAGAGCATGACCATATTCTACATCCCTAATCCTACCCAATACCTAAACTTAACAACCACCTTACTAACTATTAATAAGCAGCAAATTAGTAGGCAAAAGTTGTAGTTCATGGTTTGTTAATAGCGAGAATTGGACCTTAAAATAAAGTGTGACATTAAGTTGAATGTGAAGTTTTAAAATAATTACAACTGAAATAAAAATTAATATAAACTATATTGATAAATAAAGATAGATAGATAGATAGATTTTTTTTTTTTACAAAAGTAACAAATAAAAATGACAAAACACATATTACTAAATTTGTAACAAAAATTAAAATATAAAAATTAAAATTAAAACTAACAATGAAAAATAATTCCAAAGCATTTATTAATCTTAGTAATTTTAACATTTACTAATACATTATTAAAATCAAAAGTTGATATTATTTAATGGACCTGAGAAATATGAATTAACAGTTGTGTTTTTATTAAAACAAAGATTAATAAATAATGTAAATGAATTACACATGTATTACTCATTGTTTAGTAATGTTAGTCAATGCATTAACCTACGTTAACTAATGGGACTTTATCATGAAGTATGATTTGAAATCTTCGCTAGATTCACAATGGTCATACTTGTGGAAACACATCATCACGGTCTGTGAAAGGAGTCCACTGGAGTTTAAAATAGAATTGAAAGAAATTAAACAACAGCACACATTCATTATTCCTACACGAGTGACAAAACAAACACACAAATGTTTTCTGCTTTCTAGAGGATCAATTCACCATAAAACCATAAACCTACTGCAAACTACAGCAAAAAATTCTGATAATGAAGAGATGTGGAGAGGAGAGGAGACGAGACGAGAGGAGAGGAGAGGAGAGGAGAGAAGAGAAGAGACAAGAGATTTATATAATGTTCCTTTGTATATTGGCAGGGGAACAAGACCTCCATGCAGGTAGACCCTCAAAAGAGGCAGTCGACGTGTTCAGGCAGGTTTAGTAACTTTTATAAAGAATATCTCTTTGGATTTGAGACTTTAGACTTTGCAGCTTTACAGATCTTCTTTATGCACCAAGAGCTTGTAACACTCCAAAGAGAAAGGAAAAAATGAAATTGTATCATATGACCCCTTTAGTTTTTATATATTAAAATACAGTAGTATTGTGAAATAGTCTTACGATATTAAATAGCTGTGAATATCTGTTAAACTGTAATTGATTGCTGCAATCAAAGCTGAATTTTCAGCATCATTACTCCAGTCTTCAGTGTCACATGATCTTCAGAAATCATTCTAATATGCTGATTTGCTGCTCAAGAAACATTTCTGATTATTATCAATGTTGAAAACAGTTGTGCTGCACAATATTTTTGTGGAAATCATGATACATTTTATTTTTCAGGATTCACAGATGAACAGAAAGTTCAGAAGAACAGCATTTATTTGAAACAGAAATCTTTTGTTATTATAAATGCATGCACTGTCACTTTTCATCAATTTAATGAGTCCTTGATGAATAAAGGTATAAAAATCAAATTGACCTCTTTATCATATTGAGCTTTTGAACAGTAGTGTATATGATATATTTCTATTGCTTCAATCAACGTAAAGGAATTGTTCACCTAAAAATGATAATTCGGTCATCATTTCTCTTGTCGTTCCACACCTGCATGACTTTGTCTTATTTTTCTACTATGAAGAACTTTTAGTGGTTTCATGGATGTTTAAGTTTCTTCATGCAACCATGAAAGCAATAAAGAACCTTTATTTTGAACAGTGAACAGTGACAAATGCCCACACACACCTGCTTTTATGAAATAGAGAGAGAGAGAGAGACTATAGCAGAGGAAAAATCCCAAACTCCTCCCACAGTGAGCAGAGCACTCTGAAAAACACTATTGTCCGCTCACACACACACACACACACACACACACACACCTGTGGAGAGATTGGCGTATCCCAGCGCAGTCAGGCGTCTCCTGTGGTTGTTGAGGAAATGTTCAGCTTCTGACATCACTCCATTACACCACAGCAGCAGGTTAGTGAAGACGGCGTGAATCACTCCAAACCTGCTCAACACACACACACACACACACCGGTGTTCCACATGATCGGATTCATCATGTGAAGCTGAGGCCATTTCATCAGCATCTTACATGTGGAATCTGCTCCTGTGTGACATGTGTGTCTAATGTTGACTCTTTCCAATCATGTGTATGTGTCATAATAAACAACTTCTAAAGGCATGCATTGATTGGACTACAAAGTGCATTCAGAGTACTGTACTGTGAACTGATGAAATGCATAAATAAGTCACTTTAGATAAAGCATATGCCAGATGCATGAATGCACATCATGTGTATGGCAGAACTTCTCATGCATCTGTCTTCAGAACTGAATCTCTGCTATTTGTTCTCATTTGGAATAAAAGCATCTGCTGCTACATGAACAAAGACAGAGAAAGAAGCACGTCTGTACCTTTCAAACGTTTCATATTTCTTGATGACGTCTTTGATGTGGAACCAGAGGAAATGCACCTGGAATCAAGATCAAACACACCAACATCACGGAGTTCACTTCAGAACTAATGAACTTCACAACTGAACTGATCTGAATAATGACCCTATTGTCTTCTGTAGAGCTGCAGTTACAGCTGAAACTGAATATGTTTCATAACTTCACATAATTAATACTGATATTTTCCTGTTTATTTCTGTCCCAAATAAAAAAAGAAAATTTTGCTAAAATTCCCATTAAACGTTAGTATTGAATATTCTCTAAAAGTCAAGTTTTTCCAAATGTTTTAAAAACTTTGTTCTTGGTTATATGAATGTTAAAGGACTGTTTCATTTCGTCATTGTACAAACATTATGTGAATGTTACTTTTGAATGTTGTCTGAACGTTCTGAAACAAGAAGTAACATTTTTTTTAAATTGTTAGACGACCATTCAACTACAAAGATTCAGAAAAACGTTCCATGGATGATGCATAACATTTTTGTTTTTTAACATTATTAATGAGATATTTTTGAACGAATTAACGTTCTATTCACATTACTCGAAGAACGTTTACTCATAACTTTGAGAGAAGGTTCTGAGAGCGTTCCCTGTTAGCTGGGGTGAAGCTGCTTTGAATAAATCCGCATAAAGTGCTACAGACATAAATGTGACCTCTCACCTGAGATATGGTGTGCAGCGCGTGCACGATGGGATAGACCCCGAGCACGGCGGAGATGCACGAATGATATCCGACGAAATAACCGATGCGGAACGCGTCCATGATGAGCGACAGCAGCGCCAGCATCGTCAGCCCCCCTGAACACACAGCAGAATCGCTCATTCTCACGCACGATCACGCAGCAAGGCAAAGTTTAGTGTAACCCGATCTCATGAATGTGGGTGTCAATGGCATGATTTTCGGTTTCTATTTGGGCATATCATTTATTTATTTGGCGTGCATATAATACACAATTGGCAGGTTAAGGGGTGTGGGGTAGGTGCGTATTATATGCACGCCAAAAATGCGTATTATATGCACGTCAAAGTCCGTTTCTGCGTATAAATAGCACGTAAAATACAAAAAATCGTGCTATTGATACGCATTTTCATGAGACCGCGCTAACAGTTCAGTAGACGCGCGTCACCTCGGACCCAGCTGGTGCCGGCGTGCGCGTCCCTCTCCGGCACCGGACCGCGCTCCCGTTCCCTCCGGATCATGTAGCAGAGCATCCAGACGAGCTGCACCAGCATCAGCGCCGTGATGAAGGCCAGCAGGTGCTCCTTCTGCACCGCGGGACCGTGCTGCGCCAGCGCGAGCATCACGGACACACCGACCAGCAGCAGGTTGGTTCCGTACTGCGCGCTCAGCGTCTCCGCGTTCTTCTGAGGGTACTTCTTGGTCAGACTCACCTTAAGCTTGGAGAAAAGTTTCTTCTCCGCGTTCGAGGAGGATGAGGAGGAGGAGGAGGAGGAGGAGGAAGCGGGGCTGTATCTGTTCAGACACATGATGTCCAGGCCGCTGTGCTCCACCATGGTGCCGTCGATCAGGGATTGATGCGCGCCGCGCCGCGGACATGCTCAGTGCGCGTCCATCGCCGCTATATACCTCCTACAGAGCGCGGCAGATTAACGCGGATTGAGTTTCATTCATCTGCGAGCTGCTGGAAAAGCGACGGTGCCAAGAACCGCTGCGCCAAACTTCACCAAGCATGCGTTCGCGCTGCGTCTCCGCGCCGCGGTCAGATGTGAAGCTCCAGTGCGCTTTTCCTCGGCCTCCAGCGAGCTTTTAGGATCTCGGGTTTCACTGGTCAAAGGCTCTTTATGGACGGTCCTTTGTTGAGCGCAGACTCGAATAATGGATGTGCAATCAGAAGAATGCGCGCAACGCGAAATCTGCGTGCGGCGGATTGCGAAACGCGGATGAAATCAGACGCAGCCTCTTCTGAAGAAAAGTTTGAGGGAGGAAACCGAATTTGACGGTGTGCTCGATTACAGAGAGACCCACAATTAGACGAAACCGATCCGGGCCAGAGAGCTCCAACAAAAGAGCTTCTATTATAACGGCTCTGACCTGGATTAACGTGCGCACGCACCGCGTCAGCCTCCAGTCATCCCGTGCGTTCAGCCGCGCTGGAGCTCCGCGGTGATCCGGATCAAAGGTAACGAGAAGCGCTCCCTGGTTTCCGCTGATCGACCCTCTGGAGACCCTTGATGAAGTCAGCGCTTATCACCATCACCATCACCACAGAGCCATTCTCTCGTAATGTCATCAGCGAGCGTTTGATCAAGAGTGCACTGCAAAAAGAGATGTGTTAAAAATGACACCTTTTAGGTGTTTATAAAATGATCTGGTGTGCTAGACAACTTGTTTGGTCATGGTTTCCTGTTTCAGCGTCTCTTCTTTCTTTTTTTTCCAGTTATGCGCTCAGCCTCGCTCACACTTTTCACTAACGGCATACTGCACGTCGCCACTTTCCAACTAATTAACAATGTTTGGTAGCTAACTATTTCCATGGTCGATTTTTGCAGCACTATGTATTTTTAAGAGTATCTGCTGTAACTTACGGATCTTATGGGGGAGTCCGACAGCATAGTGATCCCCCTCAAACCAGACCAGCCAGAGTGAAAAGAGCGGGATCTTTTACAGCAGTATTTTTAAGAGTATCTGCTGTAACTTACGGATCTTATGGGGGAGTCCGACAGCATAGTGATCCCCCTTAAACCAGACCAGCCAGAGTGAAAAGAGCGGGATCCGCCGCAGTTTAAAAAGACAAGAAGCACGACGTGATTGGCCGACAAAAAAATAGCCGTTTAATAAATTGAGATGTATATATTGTATATTTGTTTTATTAATGATTTTTTTTTATTTTAGAGCTTTTTATGTGCTACCATATTAAATATATGTATTGTATTTATTTCCATAAACACAACTGCCGGCCCAGGAGATAACACATTTATTGTGTCAATCTGTCCAAAGGCATTTTTTTTTTTTATTACACATTGTGTGTTAAAATCCTACACAACATGTGTCAGAATGCTGTCAACACAACCATGTGTGTTGTTTTTTGACACATCTCTTTTTGCAGTGTGCGCTGTAAATAAACATTACTGGAGTAACTTCAAAATGTCATGTTTAATTCAGTGTGTTATAGTGTGTTTCTTTGTAACTAATTGTGTAATTTAGGCTACTAGCAATTTCTGAGTGAAAATTGTTTCTACACCATGTTTTATTAGGGAACCGCATTAATTACAGAACATAAATTCTACATTGGAATTTCTGTTAGAATTCGGAACCAGTCCTAATGGGATCAAATCATGAGATCATTTCATTTTGAAGTCGGTTTACACAAAGGCCCATATTATTTACATACAGGTCAAAAAGAAGGCGCACATTAATAATACGTGCTGACGCATTGTAGCCTATTTCTTATTCCAAAAAAAGTTCTGTCATATACTGAACCCGTAGCTATATGAAATTATAATAAACCGATTCGCCGATAATTCTATTAACCGGAATCGCTCCGTTGCTATAGTTACGCAAACGAATGTTTATTAACAGGTCTTTTTAAACTCAACTGTTTTAACGGCTGAAGTTCAAAACACTTAATTCCGAATTATAATTACTGTAATATGGTAATATTATACATCAAATTTGTATTCAGTAGATTGGTGATAATTTAAAAAGTTTTACACATTAAAAAAACATTTCTGTAGTTATATGAACAGATACCGCAAACAACGGCATGCCGATAATCATATTAACCGAAAGCGCTAGAGCTGGTGCTAACTCAACTTTAGCAGTTTTAAAGACTAAAGTTCAAACACTTAATCCCGAATTAATTACTGTAATATGGTAATATTATACATCAAAGTTGCATTCAGTAGACTGGTGCTAATTCAAAAAGTTTTATACATTAAGAAATACATTTCTGCTTTAGCTGAACCGATACTTGTTCGCCGATAATCATATTAACCGAAAGCGATAGAGTTGTTGCTATAGTTACACGAACAGAACGTTTGTTAGAGATTCATTAGCTGCTACAATTAAAGTTAAAGCAACTAGTTTACACATTATCGGGGAAAAAATGACTATTTTGACAATTATGATATAAAGAAAGTTTGTTAAAGCTGTAAAAGGTCATCAATAGTTTAATTTAAAGCAGCAACAGCATCAGTACAGGACTCGACCCCCACTAACAGGTTAGCCTGACTATCTGTTAGAGGTTGTGTTTGCTGAAGCTCAACCCTTAACCCACAGTAACCCGCTGACAGCAGCAGATTCAAGCACAAGAGACTTTCAATTAGTCAGATGCACTGTTTTCACACATCTGCACCTCACAAGTGCATAAACACCTCATTATGTGTTCATGTGATAACTCCATTCAGAGGGTCAAATCAAGAACAGCAGTCTTACATATTATACTCTCACACTCACACTCACACACTCATTCACACTCACATAAACACTCACACACACACACACTCACTCACACTCACTCACACACACACACACAGACAGACACTCACATACACACACACACACTCACTCTCACACACACACTCACACTCACACACACACACTCGCACACACACACGCTCACACACACGCTCACACACATGCTCACACACACTCACCGTGTGTTTCAAGCCAGCAGTGAGATCAGCATCACCACACCCAGGAACTGAGTGAACAGAATCACCAACGACCAGACGGGCCACAGAGCGATGTTCAAGCTGAAACACATTGATAACAAAAGCACTGAACAAACACTTTACACTAAATTAACAAAAAGGAAAATAATTCATCATGTTCATTTATATGCAGCAAACCAAACAATATTTAGTAATAAACAGTAGGCCTGCGACGATAAATCGATGCAGAATCTATTCGTGGACTGATTCTGAGATCTTCAGAATGCATGATTCTCTCTGGAATGGATTCTGAGCTTAGATTTTAACAGCAGATGGCACTCTCAAGTATAACTCGTTTGAAGTAATGGTGCTTCATATAACATTGTCCAGAGAAACGGATTTGGAAACGAACAGAGTACGGTTGTTTCTAAAGCATGCAGCGCCATCGGCTGTTCAAAACTAACCTCAGAATCCACTCGAGAAAGAATCACCATGTATTCTGGAAATCTCAGAATCGATGCGGAATCATTACTCAATTTGCGATGCATTGATTTATTTTCCCAGCCCTAGTAAACAGCCATATTTACCCAGGTGTATTTTTACATGTCAAATGCCTTACACTGGCTTCTCTCAACATTTATGATAAGAGATGCATGGCTCCAATACTGGCATTTTCTGCCGGATCGGGTATCAGATGTACCGATCCAAATCCCATATTCTGCGTATTCTATTCTGTGTTATTCTTAAGCCCCACAAAACGCACAAAAACATTATAAAGCACCATCAAGTTTCAGTGCACTATATTCCAAGTGTTCTGAAGCTGTTCCATAGTTTAATGTGAGGTAGAGACGAATATTTAAGTCGTTAAATTCAAGTTGATATAAACTCTTCATCATTCATACCCTTTCGTATTATAATACTTTTGCGCAATGAAAGATTATTAATAGCCTTTCTTGTTCTGTCTTATCTATTATATGTTGCTGCCTTCATTACTGTGCTATACATTTAAAACAAATGTCTTTTAATTTTATAGTATATATTTGTATATAAATATATTTACTTGTTTTTCATGAATGTATTTTACAACAATACAAAGAGCAATGTGTAACATTTTACCAGATTTAGACCTACACTTATTAACTTTTATTTGTTCCCCACTAAATAATGTTGTTGTTTCACTAAATATTTAGATTTTATAAAATTATTGTGCACTAATGCACTCAATCTTGTGATTTTTCTAGAAAAACTTTTGCTGCTGAATAATCCGCTAACCTAGTTTATAATAGTATTTTTGTCATATATTATGATTATATATTTTCCCATTTGTTATTTTTCATTAAAATGAAGTTATCTATATTTAGCAGATAACACTGATGATCAGATCAACACAGAAGTAAAAAAAAACTGCTTGTATCGGATCGGTATCGGCAGATACTCTGAATTTTCGGTATCGGATCGTTTCTGAAAAAATAAAGTAAAAATTAAAAAAGAAAAAATAATTTATTTAAGCTGTTTGAAACATTTGTCATTTTCATTTAGTTTAACTTGACGTACTAAAACAACTAAAATTAAAACGTGAAATAAAATTAATAAAAACTATACAGACATTTTAAAAAAACTAAACTAAAATGACAAAAACACACAACAAAATTACTAAAACTTTAATAAAAATTTTACATGAAAACTTAAAATATAAATAAAAACTCATTGATAAATACTATAAAAAAGCATCTTAATTATACTAAAACAACACTGCTAGTGACTCATGAAGCGTGAAGAAATGAAAGACCAGGAGACGAATTCATAAAAATACACTTCTTCTAAACCACTGTTTTCTTCGTATTTAACTTACGAATGTTCTGAATTCCCAAAACCATTTCTTAAAAGTGTCCTTATCTTTTTTCTGAAGACAAAACTTAAGAAGAATTTGAATTCCTGAAAATAATGTTCCTTAAAATGATCGTAAATAACGCAAGGATAACCACCAATTTATTTTAAATCCCCAAAGGTAACGCGTTTAATAATATGAATTTATTGAATTGTTTCAAATATTAAACATCACAACAGAAATCTAGCTTACGTACAAGACAACTGTACCACCTTCTTAGAATTTTTCTTATTATTAGAAAAGTTATCTTTCTTAAGAAGATTCTTATTAATCTGCACCAGACGCTCCTGTCTAACTTCTATAGAGTTGTGAGTTTGTAGAGCTGAGTAGAGTTCATGGTGTTTCATTGTTTAACTGTGAAGGCGTGTGTGTGTGTGTGTGTGTGTGTGTGTGTGTATTGCCTGTTGTTAGCGTGTAAATTC